TTGCTAAGTATAGAATATAATACAAAACTTAGATCTCGTAGATCTCTTAGATGTCTTGCTAAAGCACTTAGGCATAACTATAAATATGAGTACAATTAGGTTAACAACTCGTCAGGGGCAATCTTGTAATTTTGTGAGAACTTGGGCTTTGAGTCGGCCAAGTAAATCTTGCTCATCACGCTCTGTATCGATCGATGGTACATGGTGTACATCGATCGATGGAGTATCTTGACTTCAACTTCTACGGAATCGTCATTGATCGATTACACAAGGTGTGTATCGATCGATATGTGTCTCTTATTGTCGGATCTTCATAGTCATCTTGGAAAACTCTCCTTTAAGCTCCATAAGGCACCTAAATCATCATTTTACTACAAAATGCTCCTGAACCTGAAAACATACCTAATAGACTCCAAAACATAGATAATTATTATAAAAACATATCAATACCATGACCAAAAACGGGTCAAAATCATGGTATATCAACATCCTATCGGGTCTATGCAGGAAAACGCAGGAGAGTGGTATATTGCCAGGCATTAGAGTCTCCAGAAATAGCCCGAGGCTCAATCATCTCATGTTTGCGGATGACACTATGATTCTCACAAAGACTGATCCTCTTTCTTGCTCGACACTCATGGATATTTTGGTAAGCTACGAAAGAGAATCTGGACAGATGATTAACGCTCAGAAATCATCCATCACATTCTCTGCAAAAACTCCTACGGATATCAAAGACAGAGTAAAACAACATTTGGATATCACAAAGGAGGGGAAAATAGACAAATACATGGGCCTTCCAGAACACTTCGGGAGAAAGAAGAAAAATTTATCTGCCTCCATTGTCGATCGTATAAGGCAGAAATCGGTGTCGTGGTCAACACAGTTCCTCTCTACAGCAGGAAAAGCAACCATTCTCCAATCGGTTCTCTATGCTATTCCTAACTTTGCAATCACCTGTTTTGAGCTTCCTATAAGTCTATGCAAGAGCATACAATCGGCCTTAACCCACTTTTGGTGGGACTCGAAGGAGGTTGGAAAGAAAATTTGCTAGAAATCTTGGGAATCTCTAACTAAATGATTGGGAGGTTTGGGTTTTCGCGAAATCCAGGCTTTCAACCAAACACTTCTAGCAAAAATAGCGTGGAGGATCTTCACTAAGCCTAATTGTTTTCTAGCCAGAAACCTACTATCCAAATACTGCAACAAAGTGTCTTTTTCTAAGGTCCGGGAGCTTCTATTGCGCATGGATGGAGAGGGATATTGTCGGGTAGAAATTTACTGCTGCGGCATCTAGGAAAAGTGATAGAAAATGGAGAAACCACAAAACTCTGGTCAGATTCTTGGATCCTACCAGAGGATGGACTCAAACCTATTGGTCCCATTCTCCCTCAGGACAAAAACCTCATGGTTTCTGACATCCTTACAAGGGAGACTAAGGAATGGAACATAGAGCGCATCGAGAAACTCCTTCCAGAGTTAGCTGAACACATCTTAGCCATACATCATAGTATTCTCGGAGCGAATAACTCTTATATTTGGCCACTGTAAAAGAATGAAATTTATTCAGTTAATTCTGGATATTTTGCCATCAGAACATGAGAAACCAATCGACTTTACTCTTGGAGGATCAAAGTACCTGGAATTGGAAGAGACATATATGGCAGTCATACTTGCTCCCAGAACTAAAGTTTTTTCTCTGGAAATAGCGGCAAATGCTTTCCCGACGAGGGCTAACCTACAGATTCGAGATCTACTCCAAAGTACAAATTGCCCTCGATGTGGCTTCCTTGAGACAATATCGCATATTCTCTTCCAATGTTATTTTTCTAAGGAGGTCTGGGAGATGGGACCATGGTCAGTCTCCCTAGACACAAACACAATGCTCTATTTCAAAGATCTTCTCGTGGCATCAATGGCGTGGAAGACTTAACCCCTTTGGAGGTGACCACCAATTTGTTTCCTTGGATATGCTGGACTATATGGACCTCTAGAAATTTCCTCATCTTCGAAAGAAGATCTTTGACCCCTCAAGACACAATTATCAAAGAGATTTAAGTTGCTAAAGGATAGGAGAGTGCTCAGCCGGCGCGAACAACAGTGGCTACACATGCACTCCCATATCTCTCTCTGACCACGACGATCACATCCACGATCTTCTGCAACACGGACGCCTCGTGGAAATCGAAATCAAAATCAGCGGGTTTAGGCTGGATCTTCACGAACCAAGACGGATCGGAACTTCACAGAAGATCGTGCTTCCATGATCATGTATCCTCTGCCTTTATGGCGGAGGGTTTGGCCATAAGGGAAGCCCTAATCCACGCCTCCTCGCCCAGTCTCACCAATATTTGTCTCAGAACAGACTTTCAAGTGCTCGTAAGGATAATCATCACGGGTAGCAGACCTTCAGAGTTCTCTCGGATGTCGACGCTCTGGTAACTCCACCGTTTCAATCTTTTCCTCCTGTCGTTTCAGTTTCGTTTTCCGGGCCTATAACGGCTTGACAGATAGTATTGCTAAAGCTTGTTTGTTTTCATCTTTGGGCCTAAGGCCATAATAATCTCCTTTTCTTTGAATGAAATTTTAGTTGCCCAAAAAAATATAATAATGAAATTAGTGAAAATATTTACATAAAATTTTTAAAGTTAAGATCTTTTTAAAATATTTTTCAACAAATTGTTAATTTTTAAATATATATATATATATATATATATATATATTTATATTTAAAATGAAAAGATATCAAAAGAATATTATGATCAAAGTAGTTACATAGATTTTATATTATTAATGTTAAAAAAATACATTTGTAAATGTATAAAGAAGGTCCAATTAAAAAATCACACATGAAATGATGTTGTGAGTTTATTTTAATAGAATAGATTTTAAATTACTATTTGAATTATATAATATGTTATATTTACGTTACAATTTTGACTTATCCCTTCAATAAAATTGATAAATCAAGTAGTAACTCAACATCAAGAAAAAAAATCATGTGTTAAGACTTGAGTTTAATATTTTTTTTTGGTTTTCAACTAAAAACCCACATCCACTTGCAACTATTTTAACAAAACAAATTCTACTTTGTTGTCTACGTGTTTTCTGTCAATAGTTGTCTAGATTTATCTATGTAATTATTTAAACATTTTTTTTTTAATTTTAGTTATTAATTCTATTTGGTGATTGTTGTTATAACTAATACTATAATTTTATATGGGTGTTTCTATTAATTTTTTCATAAATATATTTTTATATTTTATTTTATAGAAAAATTATACATCAAAAATTAATAAACAATTATTTTTAAAAATAATGTTTTATATTTTAGTGCAATGTCATTATATAATTATGTAGACCCTTATTTTATAATAAATATTTATTCAATATATTTCCTATTTTTATTTAATTTATCTAATTTATATAAATTAACTTTTTATAATATATTTTATAGAATTGAGAATAAATTTTATTATTATTTGATATCTATTAATTGTTTTTAAAATAATAGATACTGCAATTTATACATCAAAAATGTTAGTAATCAATTATTTAAAAACATATAGTAACACATATTTTTACAATAAATTTACTATATAAATCTTTATTTTTACCACATAATTTTTACTGTAAATTAAATTAAATTGTAATATTTTCTAATTAAACGTTAATAATACTATGTTACCAATCAAAGCTTTAAAGCGTTAAAGGATTATTTACTTCCTCCGAACAGAATCTTTTCGGAGCTGCTTCATTGATGTGTCTCGAATTAGTTGTATCATGAAGTTGTTAATTAGTTTTACAAAAATCATCAAATCATTTATGTCATTAACTTTGTTTTAAGCGAAGCTAAAAATGGTTAGATAATAGTTATATGTTCTATATAGGGTTTGATGGGTGACATGAATTTACAATTCATTAAGTGTGAACTGGGAACATAACTCAAAAATATTACCGATACATTATTTTTATTCGTTTAGTTAAAATTTGAGTTATAATATATTATAGTTACAATTTTGAATTATCCCTTTAAAAAAATTGGTAAATCAATTGTTAACTCAATATCAAAAATCAAAATATCAAATAAGAGTTAGAGACTAGACAAATTACAGATGTTATTTAACCAATTTATATTGATTTACATCAGTTTCGAATAATTTAAATGATTAAAAATGATTCAAAGCAATTTGAACTGTTTAATTCAAATTTGTTTAAAAAGAAAATTATTTCGGTTATGATCAAATAAACCGTGTCTACCGATCTTAGACCATGATTATTGCTGTCCCTTAAGAGGGTTGTTTAACATAAATAAAATTAAAAATAAGTAAAAATGAGTGATAAAATGAAAACACACCCCTTCGTGAAGCCCTCGAAGCAGCGCCCCTTCGGGCCACGTGTCACAAGGTATTCAGTTTCATTCTTTCTTTCTTCCTTCTCTCTCCTTTATGTTTCTATTTAAAAAATCACAAAGCCGCACCTAAGGGACACTTAGTGATTTTTGCAATAATCATGCTCTTAAGAACTTTGGTTTTAAATCAACAACAATATTAAGTTTGCAAACACAGGGGTAGTATTGTAATTTCAGTAGAAAAACTGTCAGCGTCTGATTTGTTTTGATTGCCCGCGACTACTCTTTAACTCCTTCCACGGTTTCAGATCCGAGTTTCGGAGAAGCATCTATCTGTCTCAGCAGAAGCGATCCTTCACTTTGTCCTCTTCGTTGCCATCGCGATCAACTCGTGTGCAGCCTTCAGGTCAATGCTGTTTGTTTTCTTCTCATCATCTGATTCATCAATCTATTTCGAAAGAGACTTGGAATCGCATTGATCCGTTTCGGTTTTCTTCTTCTTCGACATTTCACTTATATTTGTAGATCGTGTTTCCTTATGCATTCTCGTTGATTTAATAAATGTCTGATTCGAAATTCGTCATCATCGTGTCGTAATTTATAGATTATGTCTACATCTGTAGGGATTCGGACCACTTCTATGGATCAGGCGGAACTGTCTACGGAGCAGGTTGGTGTTATGATGTTATTCAACCTTTTGTTTTGGTCTGAATATATTTAGCACCAAAAGACCTGCGCTGACCTTGAGGGTCTTGTCAAGATATGTGACAATGACAAGTTCTTACAAGATAATGTCGTGCTTTAGATATGTTAATCATGTGTTTTGTCAGTGTGATTGTATTGTAAAGGTTGGCAAACATTGTGATTATTGTACAGTTTAATCTCTGTTGCTATTTTACTTTGCAGGTATTGCAAAGAGACATTCCATGGGAGACTTACATGACAACTGAGCTGATCTCCCCGACAGGTCTCCAGCTCTTAAGGCGTTATGATAAGCAACCTGAGAGTGCAAGAGCTCAGTTGCTGGATGAGGTCAATATTCTACGATAACTCTTTTTGTTTTTGTTTTTCTTATTTCATTCATTTTACGGTCAGATTCTTTGTGTTAGCAGTGGTTTATGTTTGATAAAGACCGTGCAAGCATCTACCTTGTCATGATAAAGTGGTATGTTTGTTTGCAGGATGGTCCAGCTTATGTTCATCTGTTTGTTACCATCTTACGTGATATATTCAAGGAAGACACTGTGGAATATATTTTGGCTTTGATTTATGAAATGCTCTCAGGTAAATTAATAGAACATGGAGATATTTGCATTCACCTTTTCGTCATTTTAGATACTGACTAATAATTAATGCATGAACTTGTCTGCCAGCGAACCCAACACGAGCTCGGTTATTCCATGATCAATCTTTGGCACATGAGGATACTTACGAGCCTTTCTTGAGGTGAGTCCCTATGCAATAGTTTTTTGAATCATGAAGGCCTATGACTTGTTGCATTTTCTTTATTCTCCTACATGTCATATTAACTGGTCACGCGTCCTTTCTAGTTTTTCTTGTATCTACTGTTTACATCCAAGGTGTCAAATGAAACCGGACCTTACCTAGTTACAGGAAACAGCTATTTCCCAAAAATATTAATATGTCTTTGTGTTTATATTTAGTGGGACATTTTCACGTGACCTGAATTTTTAGTCCTGCACTTACGGTATAGTGGTTCTAGCAAAAGATTCTGTTGCTTTGTCTATTCAGTCACTTGTCCCTTGCTCATTTTGTCTAAGAACCTGAGTTTAGTCGTGATAAGTCAGATTATTATTTCAAATAAAATCTTCCTTACAAAGGGGAACATATGTAATTTACATATTTGCTTGATTTTGGCTGTTTATCTTCAAAAGTATGCAAGCTAAAAGATGTGTCTTCTTTCAGGTTGCTGTCGAAGGGAAATTGGTTCATTCAAGAAAAAAGCTGCAAAATCCTTGCCTGGATAATAAGGTAATGTAGAGTTCAATACTGCATATCAGACATTAAACACGTCTCTAATATACATTACCATGTACTTGGTGGGTCTTGTTCTTTTCGTAACATATAGTTCTAGGACAAAGGCTAGTGCTATTGCTGATGGAGAAGCTTCGGGTTCAGAGAAACATATTACTACAATTGATGATGTACTCAATGGTTTGGTGGAGTGGCTTTGTGCTCAGGTTCTTTTTCTGTTTTTCTTCTTTACTTTTAATAGTTTATGCTGGCTTTGCATTGTCGTTGAAAGTTAGTGATTCTGTAAAAGCGCCCATCATAGGTTTCACAATCCTTGATTTTGAAATGCAGTTGAGGCAGCCTTCTCATCCTACTCGTGGTGCTCCAGTTGCAATCAGCTGCCTGTCCACACTGCTTAAGGAACCTGCTGTCAGATCATCATTTGTTCAGGCAGATGGAGTGAAGTTACTGGTCCCTTTAATCTCCCCAGCATCCACTCAGCAGTCTATCCAGGTAACTATATATATGGTCGAAGTAGTTTAAAGTGAAAAGTGTCAACTAAAGCTGCAGAGAAGTATTGCAGTTTCCATATTGCGCAAAGCCTTTGGTAGAAAGGCTATGATTAGACTTTAGACAGACACTCAGGATGAAACTCATTATGACTTTTAAATTACAACTGAAGCTTTGGATTTATATTTTGCTCTCTAGTTCCAAAGTAGTAACCATTAGATAATAGATGGTTTTGCATCAGTTCATTTTGTCATAATGTCTCAGTAACTAATTCTTTTGATTTGTACGCTCTTGACCAACAGCTTCTCTATGAAACATGTCTCTGCATCTGGCTTCTGTCTTACTATGAACCCGCAATAGAGTACTTGGCAACATCTAGGACAATGCAAAGGCTCACGGAAGTGGTCAAGAGCTCGACTAAGGAAAAAGTGAGCTATATTCTCTTTGGTTGATCAAGCAGATTCTCTGCCTGCATACCAAGATTTTTTGTTTCTTTTTTTTTTTTTGGATCATTAATTTGCATAAACGTCGTGCTATGCACTTGTTATGTTTCTCTGACGGTATTTTGTGTTATAGGTTGTCAGGGTAGTCATATTGACTTTCAGGAACTTGCTTCCGAAAGGTACATTTGGTGCCCAGATGGTTGATCTTGGACTCCCACATATCATCCACAGTCTGAAAACACAAGCATGGAGTGACGAGGTTAGTAAAGTTGATTAAATACAAAGCTTGGTACTGCTTACTGCTGAACATGACGTGAGAAACCTGATATTTTAGTGATTCCTACAACATCGGATGTGTATTATAGTATATGCCTTTGTTGCAAGCATTGCCATGATTAAATCCTGTTTAACTTTAAATTTTGGAAGGACTTGCTGGATGCACTGAACCGACTAGAAGAGGGGCTAAAGGACAATATCAAAAATATGAGTTCCTTTGACAAATATAAGCAAGAGGTTCTTCTTGGCCATCTTGACTGGAACCCAATGCACAAAGAGGCCAACTTCTGGCGTGAGAATGTCACTTGCTTTGAGGAGAATGACTTCCAGGTATCTTCTCAACAAGCACCACTTGTAGGGCTCAAAGTAGCTAGTTCGGGCTAACCATTTGTTAAAAACATGTGGATGCAGATACTCAGAGTCCTCCTCACAATCCTGGACACGTCAAGTGATCCAAGATCATTGGCGGTGGCATGCTATGATATCTCGCAGTTCATACAGTACCATGCAGCGGGGAGAGTGATCGTAACAGACCTCAAGGCGAAAGAACGAGTGATGAAACTGATGGCTCATGAGAACGCTGAGGTTACAAAGAACGCTCTGTTGTGCATTCAGAGGCTTCTCCTTGGTGCCAAGTACGCTAGCTTCTTGCAAGTTTGATGGGTGTTTCCATGTTTTCTTTCTATATAATGGAAAGTAACCCCCACAAAAAACACAGAGATTGTGTTTCATTTTTAGTCCTGTGGATTTGTTGTTCACACCAAACCAAAACCTGCCTGCTTGTTTCTATTGGTTCTACACTCCCAAGAATCTGCTTTTGTATGCTTAAATAATGTTTGCATTGTATTTATTTATTCAATAAAAAGAGCTCGAGGAATGCTCTTGTTACAGACATCAATATTGGGCCGCTTTGTTTTATGAGACTGTTGTCAGCTTAATGCAGATGAGAGATAATATTTTTTTTGGGCGATAGAGATACATATATGGGTTACATGTTTTGTTACATTTACGCTTTCTCTTCTTATAGTGCTGATGCGGTTTGCCGCTGGTTATGGTTGCAACAACAAAACTTAACTAGAAATGAAACACAAAAACGCCTCTATCCACACCATGTTTGTTTTATTGGCTAGCAAGCAAAAGTACAAAGTGTAAAAAATTCGTGATCGGTTTGATCAGAAGAACCAAACCGAATCACCCAATTTCAATACAATTTGGTCCAACCTTTCCGGTTTAAAAACATTTTATTTTCATCTCAGCCTTCGCAGAAAAGAGTGGTTTGGATCGGTTCGTGATTCTCCCCCTAAAATATTTTTCAAAACTTAAAAAGGTAAAACAAATAAGAATATAAAAACGGTTGGTTAAAACTAAAAACCCCTAGATTTCCAGTGAATTACATCTCTACCCCCAATCACTTTACTCCATTTAAACATATTCCTTCACTTTAGGGTTCCCATTCGAAACGATCGATACCTATCTGAATCTTCTTCTTCATTTCCGTTTTCATTTGGAAGGGGTTTTTGAATCGAGAAGAGATGGGTCAGATCCAGTACTCTGACAAATACTTTGACGATACTTTCGAGTACAGGTAATTCATTCTCCCTTCTTCCTTCAATTTTGTTGTTTTCTGAAAATCTCCAAGAGTCTTGATCTGTGTTGTGTGCGTACACAGGCACGTCGTGCTTCCCCCTGAAGTCGCTAAGCTTCTTCCCAAGAATCGTCTTCTCTCCGAAGTAAGTTTTTCTTCTCATTCCTGATTCTCTGATTCTGATCTAATAATCGCTTTTTGGATCATCGAATCGAAAATGATAAGTCTCTCCGCTTAGGGATTGCGATTTGAATTTATCTATGGAATCGTATACTCTGGATTGTTACTGTTGACAGTTACAAAAGAGTGTTCGCTAGCTCTCTCAGTAGAAGCTTTTTTGTGAGTGTGTGTGTATGTGTGTGATTTTGATCTGAAGAAGTCAAAGATTTGAGTCTTGTTAGGTTATATAGATGTAAAAACAGTGCTTGTTGTATGTTCAAGATTATAAACTTGTTGCTATTCTAGTGATGAAGTTGATAATGTAGAGACATTCTTGTGTGTGTGTGATCTCTCTCTATGATGCTCTAAATGTTTTTTTTGTGGGATTTTTGTAGAACGAGTGGCGTGCGATAGGAGTGCAGCAGAGCCGTGGATGGGTTCATTACGCGATTCATAGGCCTGAGCCACACATCATGCTCTTCAGGAGGACTCTCAATTACCAGCAGCAGCAACAGGAGAATCAAGCTCAGAACGTGCTCGCTAAGTGATTCTGTTATTTCTTTCAAGTTTATGTTTCTTGTAAACATGGTCTGTGATCCCTAATAACTTTGTGTTCATGTTATCTTGGTTGGAGAAAAAACATGTGAGTGATAAAAGCTGACTACTTTGATGTTATGCATTGTCTGGTTCATGGGATTCTCTTTGTTGGATAAGTGTGGTAAACTGTTAACTTTTGATGTTATGCGAGTCTCCGTTGAACAGGGATTGTGTCATGATTTGTTGTGCTTCTTCTGCTCTTTGTTTACTTATTGAGTTAGATAGTCCACTTAAGTATTCTGTATTCGTCCAGATTGACTAGAATTGTATAAGATTGAACAAAGTGGTTTCACTGTCATTACGAGATAAGATTGTCTACAATGATTATATCCGTGTTTCTTTTCTTCTTTCTGCCTTCTTTGTTTTCTTATTTTCTACTTATTTGTTCTTGTGTTGCTCTCAACCATATTCAATACTGTAGTTAGTTGCTGAGTAGTCCATTTAACTAATTGTCCTGATTAACTTATGACTTCCCTGCTGTTCAAATCTGATTTTCAATTGAGTTGGATAGTCTATTTAACTAAATTATCCACATTGACTATAACAGTAACGGTTTGTGTTTTTACAACAAAAAGGACCAACTTCAAGTTTCACGATAGTGTCTTTAAGAGAAGAACATGATCTAGAGAAGAAACAAACACTCGAATAATGCAAAATAAGAGTTGAAAAACATCACAGAGATTACTACTCTCAACATTACCAAAATTGTCAGAAAATCCAAGATATCTTTATTGCCTACTAAACCCAACAAACGTAAAACACTTCATCAAATCCTCACTCCCTCACATCAAGATTCAAGGTTCAAGAATCAACAACAAACACAGCAAACTTAGAGCTTGAGGAAAACAAACTCCTCGACCGCTGGGATCTCCCCAATCTTCTTCAGAGTCTCCTTGCTTGGCTGATCATCCACACCAATCGCCATGATGGCTTGCTTCCTCGGTGCAATCCTTCCAACGCTCATGAAGTTCACATTGACATTAGACTCTCCAAGAATGCTGCCCACCGTTCCAATCATACCTGGCTGATCAACCTGCCTGCACAGTATGATACTACCTTCAAGAGTCACATCCACCTCAAAAGATCCAACCTTAGTCAAATGTGGGATCCCATCTTTCACCCTTCCTTCCACTTTCACCTCTCCTGATTCAGACAAGGAACTAGCAAACTTGGACTCCACGTTGCCTAGCTGAACAGTTATTGTCTCCAAAGGGTTCTCTGGTGACCCGTCCAAGAGCACACGCTCCTCTGAGAGTCTGAGACCTCTCTGCTTGGCTGTGAAGTCAGCGTTGACCAAGTTGACGTATACGTCCGAGATTGGCTCTATGATTCCCTTGGTGATCATGGCTCGGAGCAGTCTTGTGTCCAGATCATCAGTGGCTCGTGCTGACGTGTATGAGACTTTCACGTTCTTCACACCGCTTCCTCCAGCTACAAGTTGCACCGCTAGTCTCCCTAGCTTCTCGGCTAGTATCACATATGGCTTCAGTTCAGTCAGAACCTGCAGGCAAAACATAAATGTAAACAAAACAACTTTTTGTATAGTTTAACTAGCACAGGCCAATGGTTACCTCAGCAGAAACCATAGGTGCATTGACTGCAGTAGCAGCAAGCTCTCCATTTAAAGCACCAACAACAGCTTCAGCAATCTCAATAGCAACTCCTTCCTGTTAAATCCAAAACACAGAAACTAAATAACACAAACCAAACAGCAAAAACATGATTAAATGAGGCTCTTACCTGAGCCTCCATTGTGCTGGCTCCAAGATGAGGCGTCACAGTGACCCTCTCATGCTGCACTAAAGGACTGTCTTTAGCCGGTGGCTCTTTAGTGAAAACATCAAGCGCAGCCTGAGCAACAATACCAGCATCCAAAGCCCTCACCAACGCGTCCTCGTCAATCACACCTCCACGAGCAACATTAACAATACGAACTCCCTTCTTCATCTTAGCAAACGTCTCGTCATTTAATATCTTCGACGTTGCAGGGGTAAGAGGCATGTGGAGAGAAATGAAATCCGCTGTCGCCAAGGCTTCATCAAAGCTCACCAGCTCAACACCAATGGCGTGAGCACGGTCTGCCGGTGCGTAAGGATCATGAGCAATCACACGCATGCCAAGACCTTTAGCACGACGAGCAACTTCAGTCCCAACTTTCCCGAATCCCATCACTGCAAGTGTCTTGCCAACAAGTGAAACACCCACATACTTGTTCCTTTTCCACTCTCCTACATTACATCAAAACCAAGATTATAGTCACTGTAACCATCAAGACTCCAACTTTCATCAACAAGATTTAGCAAAATACAAGACTTTATGTGCAAACGTATTCGAAGTATGAAACTTTATGTTCAGACGCATTAAAAGTATGAAACTTTTGTTCAAACGTATTCAAAGTATGAAACTTTAAACTTTATGTATTGAAAGTATGAAGCTTTATGTTCAAAATTATTGAAAGTATGAAACTTTATGTTAGTTACTGACCAGCCTTAACAGAGGCATCAGACTGAGCAACGTTTCTAGCCATAGAGGCCAAAAGCGCGATCCCATGCTCAGCAGCAGCAATCGTGTTCGCGGTCGGCGCGTTAACAACCAAACACCCAAACTCAGTAGCAGCACTCAGATCCACGTTATCAATCCCAACACCAGCGCGTCCAACAACCTTAAGACGTCCACGAGAAGACTCAAAAACCTCACGACCAACTTTTGTCCCACTCCTAACGATCAACGCATCGCAGAGAGAGATCTTGGTGTTGAGCTCCTCGGGGGTCATGTTGTAAGAGCAGTCGACATTCGCGAAACCCTCCAAGAGCTTCACGCCGGCTTCTCCGAGCTTCTCGGCGACGAGGATCGTGGGTTTGGATCCGTCTCCTCCGGCGGTGCAGGCCACGAGGATGAGGCGGCGGCGAGGGGTGTTGAGGTTGCGAGAGGGGAGGGAGATGGAGGGAGGGAGAAGGGATCTGGAGGAGAGGGATAGGGTCTTGAGGGGGTTGGTGGCGGCGACGGAGATCGCGGAGGATGCGGCGGCGGCTGACATTGCTACCGCTTTGGGGGAGTGATGTGTAGAGTAGAGAGAGAAAGTGGTTGTTGTTGTGGCAGGTGGGAGAGAGATCTAAAGGGTTACGGAGGCGACCTTGGGGGGTTTTTATAGTCGGTGTAAGAGGGGTTTGGTGTGATGTGATACTGTAGGAGAAGGCGACGGATTCTCACGCGCTTTATATGCGATTGAGGGAAAGCATGCACCAACACCTTTTTTCTCCGACCAAAGACAGATTCGAGGCAGGTTTTTTTTTTTTATGTAACAAAAGCTTAATTAGAGAAATGTTTTACACTTTTACCTGAATCTTTTAGGGACTAATCTGCAAAGTTGACTGCAGAAAAACTAATCCTTCTAATGTATTTCATTATGTATAATGTATGATTTTAGTCAGATCACGATTTTAATTTTTTTTTTTAAAATATTACTTCTATATATATATATATATTAACTCAATTCAAGTTACTATAAATTAAAACAATAAAATGTAATTATTCTAACAGTTTTATGGTTAAATTTTACCTAACATTTTAATATCTAAAACTTCAATAATGAAAAATAAAATATTATTATGAAAATATAATTTTTTGGGAAATCATAAAACATAGGACTTTTTATAATTTCTCTATTTAAAAAAAAGAAAATAATAGAAAAGTGATGTTTTCCCAATGTATGTTTATAGGGGTGGGACGGATCCGGATATCCGGGAAATTTGAAATATCCAGATCCGGATTCATCGGATCCAGATTCGTCGGATCCGTGATTTTAGTATCCGGATTCGGATTCATGTCTTTCGATTATCCGGGCTTTGGATATCCGTCTAAATATTGTTATATTCGCGGATATCCGGATTCGGATTCGGATCCATAAAAATAATTAACAAAAAAAAAATCTAAAAATAATACATAAATTAAATATTTATGCATAATTTATGAATATATATGACATATAATATTATTAATATAAAAGTAGAATATTATTAAACTTATTTTATGTATAAATATTAATATATCAGATATAATTTATAATAAAATAAAACAATTAATATAATTTTAAAATATGGATCCGAATCCGGATATCTGGACCTAAAAATTAAGATATTTGGATTCGGATTCGGATCCATAAAAATAATTAATTTAACAAAAAAAACCTAAAAATAATACATAAATTAAATATTTATGCATAATTTATGAATATATATAACATATAATATTATTAATATAAAATTAGAATATTATTAAACTTATATTATATATAAATATTAATATATCAGATATAATTTATAATAAAATAAAACAATTAATATAATTTTAAAATATGGATCCGAATTCGGATATCTGGACCTAAAAATTAAGATATCCAGATCCGGATTCAGTTTGCACGGATCCGAGATTTTACTATCCGGATTTGAATTCGGGAACCCACGGATACCTTGATTTCGGAGCGGATTCAGAACGAATCTCGGAAATAAAAATCCTAGCCCTAGTTTCTAGTATAGATGAGTGCTATTTTTCATTAAATACAAAGAAAAGATAACAATTTTTATTAGTATAGATGAGTACTATTTTTCTTTTAAATACAAAGAAACGTTAACAATATTTTATGTTATGAGCAAAACATATAACATGTGTTAGAATATACTTTTTAATAATATTTGAAGTAAAAAGAGTAATGAGTTAGATATAATTTTAGTTAAAGGATAAATTGCCAACTAACAATTTTAGAATCAACAAATAATGATGCTAAGATAAATATTAAAATTATAAACAACAAATAATGATGCTGATTTACGCTGTTCTCGCGCGTGGATTTTACTTTGCAAGGTTGGGGATAGGTTTATGTAGTAGGGTCTAACTGGTGACCAATGAATGAAAGGGAAAAATGTATTCCTTATCATTCCTAATTTGTTTTACCATTTTTAAGGATTAATTTTTCCTTTGTATTCCTTTCCATTCCTTGTATTCTAGTGGAATATAGAACAAATTTATTCCTCACCAAAATTGGTAAAGAATAATTTTCCTTTACATTCCTATAATTTTATTCCTCTACGTTTTTTTCCTATTTATTCCTAATGTTTCTATGATGGTCACCAGTTAGACCCCAAAAGTGTTTTGGCGAATAGAGTTGCATCTATTAAAGGAAACACAGGCTTTACTTAAAAAAAAATTAGCAACTTCGAGAAAAAGTCAAAAATATATTCATTTATATTACACATACTAGGTGATTTTCCCGTGCTTATGCACGGGTATAAATATTC